TTTGTAGCTGTTGTGTTGTTCAACCCACATATTGAAATTTGCAGGGACACTCCAATAAGTATGTAACACAAGAGGTGGTGCATGTGATACATTTTTTGATGTCATATTCTTTACATGTCATCTCAGAGGGACCAAAAATTCTATCTCTTCTTATAATAGGCCAGTGTTTCTTAACGATCGCCTCCATATCTCTAAACTGACAGCTATAGTTGGAAATAAATGCATAATCCAATTGATCTTTTTAATTCTGCTTATTTTTAGTCTTAATATTCACTCTTTTACCTCCTATATACTCTTTACTAACTTCAAACCAGGATTTCTCCAATATTTCAGGATCATAGCCTTTCTTAATAAAGCGTAATTTGATCATTTCAGATTGCTCTATGTAATCTACCAATCTTGAATAAATTCTTCTAATCTGACAAAATTGTCCTTTAGGGACTCCATTGATCCAAAGAGGATGGTGGCAACTAAAAGTTGGAATGTAGGGGTGCAGGCGGGTAAACTCAGGCGGGCAGTGTGGGCTCAAGGGGCAGCTGCTTTGGGCCCCACAACAATGACTGGGCCCTGGGCAGCTGCCCCTTTTGCCCCTGGCACCACATATTTATTCCCTGCATAGCTCACATTTATTTAGGAAATCCTATTATTAAAAATGTAAGGCAGGCCTAAGGTGAGAGGCAGTGGTTTTGCACATAAAGGTAGTAGGGTCAAGTGCAAGCATTTCTTATTTCTGAGGAAGAGAGCGTGCCAGGACCATAGAGGGGGAGGGGGCATAAGACAGGGAACAGCATTAGGCAGCAGCTGAACCTTCCGTTAAATCAAACTTCAGCAATGAGAGGATTATAAATAATGAGGTGGCAGATTGTTCGTGGGTGCCACCTTGTGCAGCGGAGGAAACGTCTGAGAAAGAGGCAGAACAGCAGCAAGGGACAGTTTTATCCATGGGCAGTGGCAACCTGCTGGGGACTGGGGAAAGCAGCTGTTCTAACCCACCTGGTACAGACCACTGCTATGCTCAGAGCCAAAGTACTCAGCAGCTTGGACTTTTTTAACTTATCAGCTGTGTTGTGGATTTCAGCCTTTGCCTGCAGCATATTAGCCCCATGGGATTAGCACCGAAATGAGACAAGTCATCAGCAAAAGCACCGCATTCCTTCTCGTTCATTACTTTCCACATCTCCCTCCTCCATAAGATTCTCCTGCTGCATCTGTCTCAGCATCTGTGGTTTCTAGTGACAGGCAGGGATATCTCACAAGGGATTTCAGAAGTACAGCATATGCCACATCAAGTGAGGAAGAGTGCCACGGGACAATGCTGAGAAGGGACAAGTAAAGACTCAGACCTTTTCAGAATTCTCCAACAACCACCTTGCTGTCTCCAGCAGAATCCTTCCCAAGGAAGGTGTCTCTTTTACAGCTGCTGGAACAGAAGGAAAAAACTTCTTCAAATCACCCCTATGCCAGCAACTTACTGCCAGCTCAGTAAAACTGCCAGCCAAAGGAATCAGCCCCTTCCAGTGGGTTTATGGCCCATGCTACACCACAGTGCTTAGCCCAGCTGTCATTATTTTGCCTAGAACACCTTCCGTGCCCTTCACCAGCATGTGGAATGTAACACGTCGGTGTTGCTAGACCATACTGTCATTGGCAGACTGCACATGACCATGGGCAAAGATGCTACATATGCTGCATGGCTCACTGGGTCAGTCTTCTGGCATCTAGAAAGAATGCAGGATGGGGCATATCTATGGAATTGGTGTGTGACCATGTACCTTGTATCTGTACTCCCTCCTCACTGGCCTCATCTTCTCACTCCTTGGTATAAGTAGGTCCCCCAAGCACCCCAGGGTACGCTGTTTTGCAGCTCGTATACCTAAGGGATGGGAGTCGTACTTAGCCAGAGCTGCGGGCCATTCTCCAGGTTGAAAGGTTGCTAACCCCATGTCATATTTATCCAGGCAAAGTCACGTGTGACAATGGCACTAACCTGATGACCCCCTTCAACTGGGAAAAAGGCACACATGTATCTAGCTTAACACATGTCCATAGCCTGGTGGTGCAGCAGTTCATTATGAAGTACCCAGAATAGTTTGGGGCCAATTTAGGAAGTCATACCTAGCCATGGTTTTTCTGTCAGAAATGCAGCACTGACATGCAGCACTAACATGAACTGTCTGCCAACTGCTTCATCTGTAACACCCCTCACAATGTTACCATTTTTCTCCTGGAACATACACTGTGTGGCCTGATAGACCAGCCATTGAAGGCACAGCAGCAGGAGGAATAGGAGAACTTGCTGCTCTCTGTGGGCCAGCAAGAACCTTTACCCTCCGAAGGTTAACTCTAAACTGATGACCTGGAAAATTTTGAGTGTCGTCATTTCACAAGTGTACACAGTTTTAAGGCTTGACAGATTGGATACCTATTTACTTAGCACAACCTAATCTTTTAAATTTAGCATAAGGTATTTTTATTGAAAAGGTTTACTTGATAAACTATTGCACTAATATTTTTCAGAAAAACATTGGAATTAGCACAATTTTATTCTCCAGGGTCTCTGCGTTAAGAAAATATATATTGTTTGGGCATTTCAGCTAATCTTCAAGCATAAAAGATTTTTTTTATCATGTGCGAAAAATGCAAAAAAAAAAACGTCTCTGGCAGTGACAGAGTTAATGAAGTTGTTCCTGGCCACTTCTAGAGGGTTATGTTTGTAAATGGGAAACCTGCTTTTTATTAAGGTGAATGAGCAATTCTTCTGCCATAGCAGATTTTTCAGAGCACATCAGATATACTCAGACAGGAGACTACAGGAAATATTCCTAGAAACAGAATTACTTCCCATACTATAATTAATAACAGTGTGTATTAATAATGTTTTTGTTTTCTTTTCATGAGAACATGCAGTAATTGGGTTTGACCTCTATGTACATCAGGGATGTCAAACTCCATTTCATTGTGACTGGGAGGACGTTATATGAGCTTCCTTAAAAGAGAAGTAAGTTTTTAAAAAAATAATCATACTTACCTAGGTGGATGCTGCATCTGTCCCTTGCCGTCTCTAAGGGTGAGAACACCCTCAGACACCACTGATTGCTCAGTTCTTCCTGCCGCTCTGGGCAGAGAGCGGTGACTATTAGTCACCGCTCTCTACTCTGCCCCCCCAGTGCTCCCTGCAGTACTGGGTTGTAGAGGGGACGGGGAGCAGCTGGCTCAGGCTCTCAGTGGCTCGCTGAGAGCTTGAGCCAGGGGCTGGTCTGGACATCTGGGTGGATCTTGACTTTAAAGTTAGGATCTTTTCCCGGCCTGGAGTGGCAGTGTGACGTCAGCCAACAGTGGGCTTTAGCCCGCTATCTGCTGAAAACAAGTCACAGGAGTGCAGAATGAACTGCACTCCTGTGATCCACAAGAGAGATACAGCCATACGAGCTTTGGCTGTACTTTTCCTTAAAATGTATTACATCTATATATTTAGATGTTTGACTGGGGTTCAGCTAAAAATAAAACATTGGGAATGCCTGGCTAACTGAATCAAATGGATGGTGCTTGGCAGGGGCAGACTGACTATTTGGAAGCTCGGGCACTGCCTGAGGGCCGGGGTCAGTAGGGGGCCCCATGAGATGCCCCTGGTACCTTTTTCATAGGCTTTTTTGAGTTTAGGCAAGGACACAGGGGCCCCATGATCCCCTATTGCCTGGGAGCCCCATGAGTTGTCAGTCCGCTCCTGGTGCTTGGCCAGCTACTGCAAAAATTGGAAATGTTAATGCTCTGGAGTTCTCCCACTCTTGAAAAGGAAAAAAATATGAAGGGTCAGCTCAGGTTAAAGAAGCATTATTTGTCATACGTTTCTATGAGCTGTTAAATATGTGATTATGGGTCATCATCCCCTGACCTAAAATCCTCCTGGCATTACATGTACCATGCCTTATTAAGGGAAGACTATCAGATTTCACAGTAATCCAAAGCTTAACTGCCTGACTGTATTTATTCATTTATTTGTTTTACTTGTATTTATAGATCTAGTGGTTTTTCTGCAGCACTTTACAGAGAACAGTGAAGCATTCAGATCAGTTCAGTTCCTGCCCCCCAAGAATCTTACAATTTAAAGCTATGTACAGATATTTAAATTCGGGGAAATAGTGTATGCATGATTCATATATTGAGAGCTCTTTTTGGCAAAATATATTACTATTTATGTTAACATTTAGTAGACACGTTTGTGTCAATACATGCAGTGGACACTAAGTCCAACCCAACACTGCTACATGACTCAACCCCAACAAAAATTTGAGGAAAGGATATCTTCCATGGTCAGGTAAAGCCTGCAGACTTCCACAGCACCAAATTACTGTATTTGTATAAAATCATTCACATCAGTAAATCACAATATCGCACTCTAATGTACCAACTGTACTGCACATATGTTGATACCATTCACATCAAGCCTGAAGATCTCACAATTCAATGCTCCTGCATTGCCCCAAACGTTAGGAAGACATTCACATCAGACCTCAGAGCTCATATTTTAAAGTGGAACTTCACTCTCTCAATCAACACTGACTATTTTTAATCCTTATGCTGCCAGCATTAGAAAATAGGAAAGTATAAATATATTTACTTGTTTTAAACTGTTATTTTTTTACATATCTTCAGTGACTTCCTGGTTTCGAGGCCTAGGTAAATTATGTCATACATCCCAGGAGTCTTCAGGATGGGAGGAGGGGTTTTCTCAGCTAAGCACACCCTCCTGCCTGCATGCCTAAGCTAAGGGCAAATGGATTCCAGGAAGTAAATGTTACATGAATCATCTGCCCTTGCTCAAGATGGCTACAGCCAGAAATAAAAACAGTGGTGATCAAATACCACCAAAAGCAAGCTCTATTTGTGTGGATACAGCATTGCATGACTGCGCAATAGTCAGTTAAAGTAGCGAAGTACTGCATAGCAAAAAAATGGCCTGGTCACGAAGGGGGGTAAATGTTCTGGAGGGCAAGGAAAAGTTAAAGTGGTTGTAAAGGCTCAAGGTTTTTTACTTTCATGCATTCTGTGTATGAAGGTAAAAAACTTTTTGTGCAGCAGTGCCCCCATCCTCCTCAATACTTACCTGAGCCCCAGTGATGTGAACAGTCTTGGTTGTCCTGGGTCTCCGCCTCCTCATTGGCTGGGAAAGCAAGCGGGATCCATTTGCTCCCACTGCTGTCAATCACAGCCAGTAAGCCAGTGAGGAGAGGAAGGGGGGGGGGCAAACCTTGGCTCCATGTGTGAATGGACACATGGAGCAGTGGGTGCCCCCATAGCAAGCTGCTTGCTGTGGGAGCATCCAATAGGAGGCAGGGGCCAGGAGAGCCTGCGGGGGACCCAAGCAGAGGAGGATCCAGGCTGCTCTGTGCAAAACCACTGCACACAGTAGGTAATTATAACATGTTTGTTATTTTCCAAAACAAAAGAACCTTTAGCCTGGGTTCACACTGATGCGGTACGGAATTCGTACTGGTTTCTGTGCGAATTCCACACCACGCCACAATCGCACCCCGTTCATGCAAACCGCTGCGGGTGTTAACAACACCCAGTTCTCAGTTCACAAAACGCAGTGCGATGTGCAGAATTGGATTGCATGAGTGTGAATACCCATGCGATCCGATTCTAGTGTGGACCAAAAAAAGGAGTCCTGCACCTTTTTGGTGCAGATGTGGTGCGATTTGAGCCATACAAAATGTATGGCTCAAATCACACTGCACAGAATTCGCATATGACATGCACAGGTTCCTGCGCAAATCACATGCAATATGCCGCAGCGCAGAAGTGTGAACCCAGGCTTAGAATTGCTTTAACTAATGAATTTAAGATGATTTCATATTAGCATGTAGAACTGTATACTAATGTGATATTTGGAGAAATGGAGGAAAGATCCTCTTTAGGTGCTTTTCTGTAACTACACAGAGAGGTCTGTGGCAGGGTGCTGTTTTCCTTTATCTTGAAATTCCCGTACAGGTTAGGTAGATAGTGCATTCGATAGGCAAAATGATTTACCCATCTGTGCTGACATTCAGTTGCATCTATGGAATTGTATGTGTAGAAATATTTTCAGTGGTAACTAAAGCAAACAAGATAAAAGGTGATCTAATGGACATAGATCTGTCTAAAGAAGATAAGGCTGACAAGGTTCCTTGTTATTTAATATTATTTCAGGTACTTGTATACAATCTAGGAGTGGGGGTACCACCAGTCCTCCTGTATGGGGCCCTGGCCAGCGAGGGGGGACAGACAGCTGGGTGAATCAGATGTGGGCAGGGAGGTTGATCGGCACAGTGGGGGGCAATTACTGTAACCGATCCCTTCTATGACTCTCTCTGCAGCAGCTGAAGCTGGATTCTTCTCCTCTCCCTCCCGCTAACTTTCAGCTGCTGCTGAGAGAACCATACAGGGGATTGGTTCCAGTAATTGCCAGTGCCCCCCCTCAGTGCACCCAGCATCCTCATTGTGCACCATACATTTTCCCCTGCTGCCCAGGCCCCCCTGTGTGCCTCCACTCCTGCAGGGCTGCTGGGTTCCTTCCTCTCCTTTCCACCAGCAGCTGCAAGTACACAATAGGATCCTTCATAATGGAGAGTGGGGGAAGAGTCCAGTAAATATTTCACATTTACCAGCCCCTTTCTTTTCTGAATGAAGACAATGAGTGATCGGTACCCATCACTCACTGTGTTCATTCATAACTGAAGCATAGTAAACTATGTTTTTTTTGGGGGGGGGGGGGGGGGCTGTCAGGTTCTAACAGCAGCCCTGTTGGAGTGTGGGAGGAAACCGGATTTTCCCGGAGGAAACCCACGCAGGCACAGAGAGAACATGCAAACTCCAGGCAGGTGGTGTGAATACAGGCTACAATTTATGCACGTGCCATTATTTAAAAGTAACAATGCCATCATGATTAGGATTTGCTGTGTTCAATTGTGCGCACATCTGATTTCAGTATGTTGATTCATGTGTTCTTTGTGTCCCCTTTCCTGTAAACCATGAATGTTTATGTCCCAAGCCTGGGTCTGTTTCTCTATGCATTCCTGGCATTCCATCAACTGTTCTGGCATGTACCTTAATTCCAAAGCTGACCTCTTATATTTCCTTTTCTCCCTGCAGGACCAGCATTCCAGTCAACCTGCACTTTTTGTTTTTTATTTTGTATAACATGTTGTAGACATGCATGTTTACTGATTTAATTACATGTTTATTAGTTTAGGATATAGTTACTGGAATATATCATTTCTGGGAATGGCATGGAACGTCACTGAAAAGACCCTAGCCTTAAGGGTGTCAGGGTTGATCTGTCCTTAAAAGGACACTCCTGTCAAAACCTAGAATGAAATATACATCAGTCACCATAATTACTAACACACAGCTAGAGAAAGCATGGTGAGAGGAGGAGCTCAGAAGTATGCTTGGTGCTTAGGATCATTTTAAAAAGGTTTTAGTACTTCTTAACATTTAATATACATTTTAAGATGCTCATATACCCTTTACATTTTTGTGGCTAAACCAACACTAAAGTAGGTTTTATTGTTGTATGTAGAAAGATTTGTATGTCCCATAATCCAGAAATATCCTATATGTGCTATCCTATATGTGGTCATTGATAACATTATTATTATATAATACAGAATTTCTATAGCGCCAACAGTGTAAGCAATGCTTTACAACGTGTCGGCAAACAATACAGTTACAATACAATTCAATACAGGAGGAATGAGTGGGTCCTGCTTGTTAAAGCTTACAGTCTGAAAGGAAATGGTCAAGTGATATAAAAGGTAATAACTGTGAGGGATGAGCTGATGGAGAAAATACATGTACAGTTGTTAGGTGGAGGCAGGATAAGCTTCTCTGAAGAGAAAAGTTTTCAGGGATCGCCAAAAAAGTGGACAGAGTAGGAGATAGTCAGACAGATTGGGGTCGGGATTTCCATAGGGTGTGATAGACTTGGGAGAAGTCCTGAAGGCTAACATTTTTAAGTGAAGGTAAACCCAAAATCTGTTTTTGAGTATGCTTGGCATCATGGCTCACTGCATAAGGTTTTCGTAAAGGGATTGTAAACCTTGATTATTTTTTAAATAACTAACATGTTCTATGTACCTGCTCTCTGCAATGGTTTTGCACAGAGCAGACCTGATCGTTCTCTTCATGGGCTCCTCCCTCCCACCAAGTGCCTCCATAGAAAGCTGCTAATGTCGCTCCCGAGCCAACTCTGTGTGTCCATTTCAGAAGTGTACCGCTCCTGATCCATCATAACTGCTGGTCTTGTTCCAGCATCCTGGTTTTGGTTGATATATATTCTCCCTGTCTGTCTGTCCACCTACAAGTTGATTGATGTGGTCAGTCTCTGGATGGAGACCAAACCTAATTTAAGCCAGCCAAGTCTGCAGTCTCATGCTTGTGAATCTCAGTTTGGATTTCCTTGTTGATGACCTCAGATTGGATATCGACCATTCTTTGAACTCTGTCTGCCATTTAACTACAGATTTGACCCTGACTATTCTGAACCTTGCCTGCCTTGAACCTGGACTGTCATTGAACCACTCTGCCTGTTTGCCAACTGCAAGTACTTGTATACTGTGCTCAGTTCACGCCTGCCCTGGCATGGTAGCCAGGCACTATAGCATTGTGTATAAATCCTGGGGGCAACCGAGTACCGGTAGGCCACTTTGCTTTATGGGAAAGGGGACTGCTATAGATGAAGAACACATAAGCCTACTATAGTGTCTGACCACCTGCATTTGGAATAAGTGTGACAGTCTATAGACAGAGCATGGCTCATCCCTGCTCCCCCGCTCTTCTCATTGGCTGTCTGATTGACAGCAGCGGAAGAAATTGGCTGTCTCTGAGCCAATGAGTTAAGAGAGAGCTGCTGCTCTTATGCACATTGCTAGATGGAGATGGGGCTCAGCCTAGCCATTGGATCAAAGCTGCCTCATATCAGATATCACTAGGTGTTTACGAAAAACTTGTTAGAGCAACAGACCAATGATGGGGAAGGTAGGTATCTGTAGGAAGGTATTTATTCTTCAAGAGGACTTGTCACTTTGTCATAAATGGTAATAGGAAATAATGGAATCCAGTGGGTTTTGTTGCTTAAAAGCAGTCATAGAAAATCAAAAGAAAGATGATTGTATGCTATAGGTTCTATGTACTTTGCTGCTTAGCTTTGCTGTATTAAGCGTAGATGTAAAGTATAATATATAGCCACTGCACCAATAATAGTTAACACGCACATAATGATTTTAATGGTTTGATTTCTGTTCCACTGAGATTTGGTGACGAGATATATTCTACTGGATCCTGAGTTTGAATGTACTTTGCTCCCTTGAAAACATACCATAGAAATGAAATGATATGCCACATCTCCACTTGACAATATCTTTCTGGAACTGAAAAAATAATCAAGCAATGTCTATACACTTTGGTAAACTCCATTATTTGAAGACCTTTAGAAAATAATATGAGGATCCTGCAAAAAGCTTACACACTTAAAAAAATAAATAAATAATAATTAAAATTTTGTATATATATATATATATATATATATATATATATATATATATATATATATGTGTGTATTTTTTTTTTATCACATTGGACAAGTTCAGAAAAGCAATGCAGAGGTCAGAGGTTTGAGGGAAAAAATATATACCGCATATTGTATAAAATTGTTTCATATGCAATGAGGATTTAGAATATTACATACAAACAGAACAGTTTACTTTCTCTTCAGTTTCAGTTGGGGAATAACATTATGTAATGAAACCATTTTATGTTACTCTTACAGATTTATCCATGTGAAACTGGTCATTCCTTTATTTGAACATACTGGATAGGTGACAACATGATGTATATATTACTGCTGTTTTACACACTTCTTTGTTTCCACCTAGGCACTATGCTGCTAGGTGGTGAATATAATGCATTTCCTGTCTCACCTCACTTGTCAAATACTGCATCTTCAAAGCATCTTGCAAATTGATTTTCCAAACACTTAATCATCATGACCTAACATGAAAGACATTATATTTGAGATTTTGCAAACAAATAAAAAAAAAGGTATGTATAAAATGTGTGTTTATATTTACTTTACTTCCATGCTGACTAGAGCATTGGATACAGTAACAACTACAACTACAGAACCATTAAAGTGGTATTAAATCCAAACCAAAAAATACATTACAGCTTACCAATATTTAGCTGTGGCGGCTGCATTCTTTTTCTTTTTTAAAGTGGTTGTAAACTCTGTTTTTTAATTGTACCTACAGGTAAGCTTATAATAAAGCTTACCTGTAGGTCAAATGAATATCTCTTAAACGTCCACCGTTTAGGAGATATTCTGTCTTCATTTCATCTGGCGTATGAGCTCTGAAGGAACGACATGGGGCTGTGTGCCGT